AATAATGGTTCTAATTCTGTATCTTCTTCAACAAGCTGTGAAACCAGTGTAGCTAAACATTTGTCCATAAGGCAAAATGAGCTGAAGTTTGCTATCTCATCATAGAAAAAGAAAAGTACAGTGTTTTATGCAACTTCATTCAGAAAAAGTTGTTAATTGTTTCGGCTCCATCTGTGATTCTTTTCATTTAAGTTTGCATTTTATCTTGAGTACTTTAAAGTGTATGTATCCCTTCAGTAATTAGCCTTATATTTGGAGGATTCTTTTTTTTTTTAACCTGGCTTCGTAATTTGATTGCATGTGCCGAGTGATTAGATTAGATTATCGATATGTTTATATGAAATAGAGATACCAAAGTAGGTCTGATAACTTAATTTACAAAGCAGCTAAAATATCTACGGTATCATAATTAGGTTTTTATCAAATTTAAAAATCAGTTTGTTAAAGACAATCTCTACTTTTTTTATTCAAATATCTGCTGTTCTGTTAACAATAAGAATCAAATTGTTTTGTGAAAAGATATTTGAGATGAAAATAGACAGAGAGGGTCAAAAGCATGATCTTAACATTTCCAGCCATCTAAAACAGAAATATAGTGTTAATATAATGGCCAATATTATATATTTTTATGTAAATGAAACCAATAAACCAGGTTAGATTAGGAATACTTACAGTAGTAGAGATTCAGATTCTGTTCCCACATAACAACTCCCCATATGTTAGATGGAAACTAAGATAAATAGTGGACAAGATTGTTTTAATAAAAAAAAAAATGGTTTTAATTAGACCTTGTTTAAATTCAAATACTGATTTAATCAAATTTTAATTTGAATAAGAAACTTCTGACTGAGGACAAACTGTTTATGTATAACAGTCTGATGAAGAGGAAGCTTAGTTTAGTCCTTAATGTTCTGACTTTATGAAGAATCCTGCAGTTTAGCTTCCTCTCCCACATTTTAGCTTTAATTATTTATTGACAGGGACCTTGGACAGCAAATGTGTTGCATAGACCAGATATAGCTGCAAGCTATTTTACATTTGGAAATTAAATGGTAAAGAAACCTGCATACTGTTAAAATAATTAAGTATTTCCCCAAAATATTGTAATGTTTATTTCTGTTAGAAATAGCAATGATTTTGCCCTGTTATTGTACTTAGGAAGGAATTATGTTTATTCTTTCATTTATCCACAATTTCTTCTCCTAAAAAAAGAAAAGATCTGTAGGCAAAACATTTAACATTTTATAGAAGCACTCTGTGAAGAAAAATCCAATCTTAAAAGTCTCAGACTTGAACTCATGGGTGGAAACAAAAATGAGTCCATGTCTTTGCACAAAAAATTCCAATCAAATGAAAAATACTTTCTCCTCCCTTACATTCCTGCTCAGCTTTAATCTGAGTCTAGATAAGACTGCAGAAACTTCATACTCTAATCTAAGCTGCAATTAAACATTTCAACATTGTTTTCGGGTGGCTCACAGTTGAGCAGTGATGTAAGACAGATCTGTGGAAATAATCCAGATAAGAAAGGCAAGTGAAAAGCTTCCTACCTTGAACAAGTCGAAAAAGTTAAATGACACCAGTAAATAAAAATCTTTTTAGAACAAAATTAACACAGATAAATAAACCAAT